CCGTAAAACTCTTTCTTAAATGAAAAAAAGCAAACTATGAAAATTAGTATTCAGCCTCATGTTTCTGTTGTGTAGATGTGGTGGCTGGATATGAGCACAATCATTGCTTTCTTCTGCCGCTCATCGCATAATAATGTGAGACAACGTGGTGAAATCAGGCGCCCGTCAAAAGAATTAAATCAAAGACACCCGCATTTTTCTGCACGTTGGGCAATTCTTTTGTTGTTTTTTCTTCTTTCTTTTTCTTTTTTTCTTTTTTGACTCAACGCCTTTTATGTCCATTTAAAGTCACATTTCTGTTTGGAGTTTACCGCAAAGCGTTGATAAAACATTCATGATATGTAAATGTGCAGGTTTTAAGGACACTGAAGCTTAAGAAGTCACCAAACTTTGGCGGCCATTTTCTGACAACAGGCCATTTTTACCTCCTTCAATCGCAATAAATATAATATCCTCTTCTATTCAAGACAGACGGGTATTTTTCACCTTCAGAAAGACAAATAAATACGTTTTACGGTGATACCAATTGTTCCCCCACATGTCCAAAATATGCCGAGCGCCTGATTCCATTGCATCACGTCCCTCATAAAAAGTGAATATGAGAGGCGTGCTCATAAAATGAGTTACTTTTCGCAATCCACAAATGGAGATATAGGCCAAAAATGGACATTAGGGTCAAACTTGTAGATTTTCAATTGATGCCATATTCTTTAACTATAACCTGTCTTTTTATTATTTCATACTTATAAACTGTGAAAACTTCCCCTATAAGCATGCTGTATCTATTTTCTTAAGGCTTGAATCTGAGAAGTAACTCATTTTGTCAGCACGCTTCACATGGTACTATGTTGTGTTCTCGACGTCACTGACGTCACAGAGCGTGACCCACCTCTCTATACGACACCGCTCCCAGCAGAACGTCCAGATCCTGTTGCGAGCCGCCTGAGCTCAAGCCAAACTCCACGTGTGCGGTGTCGCTGAACTGCAGAAGTGAGACTCGAACCCCATCCGTGGACACATTTAGCCGCTGCGATACCGTCTTGACCAGCTCCAGAAGTAGGTCAAAGTTGTCTGGGTTCACGCTGGAGCTGGCGTCCAGAGCAAAGGCCATGTCTAGGGCCGGTGGGCAGGACAACACAACGTCGTCTGCTGGGTGGAACCGTGTGCGTGTGAGAGAATACATGAATACATGAATAAAATAAATCGAAAACTTTCAATTAATTGATTTCCCTCAGGGATGTTTGGGTTACGATGGCACACACACACACACACACA